CCCCGCGCGGCCCCGCTGCTCCCGCGCCGGGGCTGGACCGCCGTCAACAGGTACGCAGCGCTCCCCCGGCCTCCCTGTCGCCTACTGTGTGGGCTTATAATCCGATTTCCCCACTTAACAGATGAGAAAACTGAGGCTCGGCCGGTTAAGTCCCTTGAAGGTCATGCAACTGAGAAGGGGCAGTGTCAGTATTGGAACCCGGGCCTGCCTGATGCCACAGCCTAGAATACACTCATGAACCTCCCCACCCCACGCCCCAGCTGTGACTGGTGCTAAACGCTCGGCCTGCGGCGTGGCTCAGTGTTTTGCCGAATTTCACTTATTTGCTTGAACCTTCACAACTTCCGAAGGCCCTTGTTGCTGCTGCGTCCTGGCCCCACTCACTCTCCTCCGGGTCCACTGGCCTCTGGCTGTGTTGTCCTCACTCCTCGGGGCTCCTCCTCCCCCTCAGCGGATGACTGGTCCCCAGGCCACCTTTGAGAACACGAAAACTCTCCATCCCAGCCCTGCAACAGCCTAGCACTTAGTAGGTGCCTTTGAATGAACGAATCGGAAGAAAATTCCCATGGGCTTCCACCACCCATCTGCAGCCTCCTGACCTGGTACTTACGCGCTGCCTTCCCTCCCAGGACCCAAGGGACCGCAGGACCCTCTCCCCTTGTCCACAAGCTGCCACCCTTCAAGCCCACACTGACTCAGCAACTCTGCCCTCTCTCCCCTGCCCTGCTCGTTCTCATCAACCCACACACTTCTCCTATCTTAAAAACCAAAAGAAGGAAACCAAAACCCCTTTAGGTACTTCTCCAATCTTAAAACCAAAACCCCCTTAGGATCCCCTAACCCGCTCCCCTTCCCTACTGCCTCACCTTTGTCCTTCCCTTTATAGCAAAAGTCCTGTCTCTCTGGTTTTTCCCCTCCTTTGTCCCTCAAACCCTTACCCCCACTAGCCCACTAAATCTGTCATTTTGGTCCCCAGCTATGCCCATGTTCCTAGGTCCACATGGAGCCTGCTTCTTGCCTCACTGGTCCCTCCAGCAGCACCTGTCACTGCTGCCCACTCCCTGTTCTCTGAAGCACTTTACTCTTCTGGTTTCCCAGATACCACACCTGACCACTTCTCCTCTGTGCTCACCCTCATCCTCCTCCGCGGACCCCCTTCTCTCCCCAGCCTCTAGAAGTTTCCACAGGCTGTGCTCAGCTCTTGATCTTCTGCTCCTTCCCCGACTCTTTACCTTGATGCTGTCGTCCAACCCTTGGCTTTGGAGGCATCTATCTGCGCATGACGCCCAGATGTGGCCCGCAGCCCGGACCTCTCCCTGAAGGCACATTTCTAACTGTGCTCCCTTACAGGGCTCCAGCCAGCAGCCCGGTCTCCCCCACGCTGTCCTGCATCTCCCCCATCTCAGTTAAGGACAGCTCCCTTTCCTGCCGCTTGGGCCCCAAGCCCTGACTCCTCTCCGCCCACCACACACCTTCCCCACACCCACTCCAATGGCAAATGCTATCAGATCCGCCTTCAAAAAGATGAAAATATGTCCAGAATCTGACACTTCTCACCCCTCCCCCTGTCCAAGCCACTAGCCTCTCCCCAGGGACCTCGTCTGGCCTGTAGTTCTGCCTCCCCCACTCCCCGGTCCAAACAGCAGCCCGAGGGATGATGGGAGAAGGAGGTCAGGCCACATCCCTCCTCTGGCCAAACCCTTCCAGTGGCTCCTCACTGAGCTCAGAAGAAAAGCCCCTGCCTCACCCTGGCCTCATCCCTTTCTTGGATGGGGACCCTGCCCAGCCACGCTGGCCTCCTTGCTGGCGCTCACCCCCTCCAGGGCCTTTCCTCTCGCTCGAACAGGCTCTCCGCCTGGAACAGTCTTGCCTAGATACCTACGTGGCTCTCTCCCTCACCTTCAGGTTCAAGCTTCAATGTCGGCTTCTGAGTGAGTATTCCGTGACCTCCCTGTCTCAGATCAGGCATGCACTCCCCACTCACTGCTTTCTCACCTCGATTTTCCCCCATACGCTTACCACCATGTGACATGCTTTATGTTTTTCACTTATACATGTATTTTAATGCCTGTCCTCTGCACGGGATTGTGAGTTCCACAGAGCGGGGGTTCCTGCTGACTTGTTCACTGCTATGTCTCCCTCCTGGAACAGTGTCTGGAACAGAGTGACTGGACACTCAGCACACGTGTAGAATGAATGAACCCGTAGGATTTCACCAGTGGTAATATTCACAACCCTTTTTCTTTGTATTGGCTTTTTCATTTCAATAAATGTATTTTAAAAGGAAACTTTATATTACTGTCCTAGATAGGATACCACTATTACTAGCCTAGAATAGAAGACAACAGTAAAAATGACAATATTCTAGGGGGGCGCCTGGGTGGCTCAGTTGGTTGAGCATCTGCCTTCAGCTCAGGTCATGATCTCAGGGTCTTGGGATTGAACCCTGCGTCGGGCTCCCTGCTCAGTGGAGAGTCTGCTTCTCTCTCTGCCTGCTGCCTCCCTCTCTCTCTCTCATGAATAAATAAATAAAATCTTTTTTAAAAGAGATTTTATTATTTGAGAGAGAGAGAGAGAGAGAGCACAAGAGGGGGGAGGGGCAGAGGGAGAAGCAGACTCCCCACTGAGCAGGGAACCCAATGCAGGACTCGATCCCAGGATCTTGGGATCATGACCTGAGCCGAAGGCAGGTGCTTAACCGACTGAGGCACCCAGGCGCCCCAGAAGTGGTTATTTCCTATATGATCTCCATCTCCCCGCCAGCTTCTGTGGGAGTGATTACCATCCTGATTTACAGATGAAGAAACTGAATCCCGGAGAGGTCACCTGACCCACCCAAGTTCAGTGCACCAGGCATGGAATGTGGCCCCAAGTCTGTCTGCCCTCCCCCCGCTTTCTAGGTCGCTCATCAGCGCTGTGAATCATTGGTTGACCCACCTAGGAGAGCTGCCCTCCTGGCCGGAGCACTTGGAGGAGACAGAACAGAAGAAGCAGGCACGAGAAGGCCGTTTGCAGCCCGGCCGGGGCTGTGTGCCTGCTGGTTCCTGCACAGTTCGGTCTGATGGTTGAGGCTTGGTCTAAGGCCAGGCTTCCTGGTCACAGCCACCTGATTTGAGGGCTGATTCTGCCGCGGGCTAACCATGTGACCCTGTCGAGCCTCGGAGGGCAACGCTGATAACACCCCGTGCATTGTCGGAGCTACTGTCCGAGCTCACACGGTCAGAACCCCCAGCACGTACATGCTGTGCATCTGCTCCTATCCCCCTGGGTGGTCCTCTGCACTCGAGGACAGTGGCTTTCGAACTAGGGGAGTGCACCAGAACCCTCCGGTGGGCTTGTTAAAACACAGATGGCTGGGCCTCCCCCGCTGGAGTTTCGGAGGCAGTAGGTCTGGGGCGGGGCCTGAGAATCTGCATTCTCACCAGTTCCCAGGGGCTGCTGCTGGTCCAGGAGCCCCACTCTGAGAAACAAAATCCCACAAGGTCCTGCAGGCTCCTGGCCCCGGGAGATGAATGGCAGTTGCGGACTGTTCTGGGGAGGCGCCCAGCCAGCCTTGGCAGGTCTTAGAGGAAATTGGGTTTGTGTTCCAGCTCTCCTCCCAACATGGGGACAGCAGCGGGTCAGCCTCCACAACCTTCTGGGGGCCCAGCAGCTTGGCTCTCTGCCCTGCCTCACCTCTCCCTGCCCCCATCCGGGCCCTGGTGACACAGCAGAGACACGGTCGGCTTTCTCCTCTCTCAGCCCCACTGCCCAAGGACTTCTGGAGGGAGGGCCTGGGTTTGATTCAAGCCCAGCAATGTTGAATGAATGAATGAATGAATGAATGAAGTGAGGTTCCCCCCAAAAGTCAGCTCAAAGTGCCTTTCTCCCTATAAGTGGTTTAATTTCAAGCCCCTTGCTCGTGTCTAAGAAAGAGAACCCTAACCACACTCCCCACTTGAAACGGCAGCCTTCAGGTCAGCCCGGGGAAGCAGGTGAGTTGGAGGTTATGGTCCCCCTTGTCCAGATGAAGACACTGGCCTGCAGGGCTCCCGGCAGCCCCCCTCCTGGCACCTGGCTCTTCTAGCCTAGAGGGAGGCATCACCAGAGATGACCGATGTCATCACCTCCAGGGGACACTGACCATCTCTGCTCTAGAGCTGAGTCCTGCAGCATGAAAGACCTTTCGTCCATAGCAGCTCTGTGTGGCGAGGGAGTGCCTGGCAGAGGGGACAGCCCATAAGGACACAGACGCAGGAGGGGCTGCTCCCGGAAGGACCGTGAGTTCAGTTCTGACATGTCGCGTCT